TAGGGAAAATTAATGAAAAAAGTTGTTAAGATATCAATAAAAGGGATCAGTAAAATCAATAAAACTTTTGCCAGGCTAACTAAGAAAAAAAGAGAAGACACAAATTACCAATGTCAGAAATGAAAGAGGGATTATTACTGTTGATACAATGGACACTTAAGAATGACAAAGAAATACTATAAACAGTTCTATGTCCATATATTTGATAACTTAGACGAAATGAACTAACCTTTTGAAAAACACAATCTGAACAGGCCTATAACTATTAAAGACATTGAATCCCTAATATCCTTCCAAAGTAGAAAGCACTAGGCCTGGGCGGTTTCACTGATGAATTCTATTAAATATTTAAGGCAGAAATAATACCAGTTCTCCACAATTTCTTCCAGAAAATAGATGCCAAGGAACACTTCCTAATTCATCCTATGAGACCAGCATTACCCTAATGCCAAAAACAAATAAACACAACAACAAAGAAAAACTACAGACTAAGATCTTTCTTCAGCATTGATACAAACATTCTCAACAGATTTATTCTTAAATATCTTTTTTTTTTGATACAACTGCAAATGGGATTGTTTAAATGGCATGTATAAGGAGAGACAGAGGGTAAAGTGACCTGCTGAACTCTAAAATTACCAAATGTGTCATTAGCATTCCCTCATCATTCCCTCCTCACTTACATGCCAGTCCTGTTCTCTAATGGCACTTTCTAAGATGCCCTATTTTGTAAACTTGCTCCTTTTTCCTCCCTGATCATCAAAACACCAATCCCTGCACTAACCTTTGGCTTCCTGATACTGCATTAGGAGGAAATTATAAAATTGATTATATAAATTATATGATTGACGCTACTCATGGAACTGAGCAGAACACTGCAGGCTCCCCACCCAAGTACAAAACGGAGCAGTTAATGATCAGCACAATAGAGTCACAGACTCAGTGTCTGATGCACACTCCTGAGTTGTTTCACATGTACTATAACTGCCACCAGACGGAAAAAAAGCTAACTGTAACTAACATAGCTGCTCCATCCTGAGCACCTCTGAAACTATGGCTAGCCAAATTCAAAGAACTGGCCTCAAGAGAATGGAATGATGTTTGACAATGGGGAATTGAAAACAGCTCTTTTGCCCCTTTCCTGTTTACGCATTTCTGTCCACCTCTAACCTTGAAAGAACCTCATATAGGAATGAGATCACTAAGCAATTGAAACTAACTTCTAACGTACGCTCTCCTTAAATGCACATCACGCCTTGTTTAACCTGTTGATTCTCTTCCTAGATAAAAAGAAGTAAGAATGAAGAATTAAGCAGTTAAAGAGTGATTAGCTCTCTCTCCCCAGTATTCCCCTTAGCAATCCTACAGGCAGAGCACGGAGCAAGATAACATCTGAAGAGAGTCAGCCAGCCTGTACGCAGTGGAGGGTGATGCAGAATCCAACCACCTGACTCAAATTCTTCCCTTCTCCATTTTTCCTTTTAAAAAACTTTCAGGGCTGAGCAGAATCTTCCGAGATGGTCTCTGGACATCGAGTCCAATGTTTCCCCAGATCGCCAGCTTTTCTGATTGAGGCGCCTTTCCTTTCTACTGACACTTGGCTCTCGAATTATTGGCTTTTGAGTGGTGAGCTGCTGAATCCCAGTTCAGTTAATATTCACAACGAAATTAGTTTATTCGGTTATATAAACTCAAGAAATATTTACTAAATATTTAAATGCCAATATTGCTAAATACACAGAAATATCTAAAACTCAGACTCTGCTAAAATTCCCAGTTTTGAAGAAATGAATAAGGCACTTAACTTTCCCAAGGACATTATTAATTTTAATGGAAATGTTTGTTCACAGATAATATTGCAGTGTTTTTCACAATACGTTGAACATATCTCAGAGGCTGTCATAGGCAATGAGGGGTAGGTTTCATCTCATGCCATACCCCAACTTGCTTGTTAGAATTCAGTCAGCAAGTCTGAATTACCTAAAGCTCCCAGAGTAAATTAGTTTATGCCTCCATGTCGTCCTGAGTGCTGTCATCTCTATGTACAATGACCTACCTACCCTTCTTGCACAATTGATGTCTGGATTGATACAAATACTTTGCAGAAGGCTTTTAAAAAATGCTTATGTGTTTCTTGGAGAGGGTAATTAAGGTTTACTTATTTGCCTATTTTTAGAGGGGGCACTGGGGGTTGAACCCAGGACCTTGTGCATGCTAAGCAGGCACCCTACCACTTGAACTATACCCCCCCCCCCGCAGAAGGTTTTTTATTGTCACTGTTTTCCTAATTAATCCCTCCTTTTCTGAGCTAAATCTGCACCTTGTGAGTCATACTGTGCTCCCTTTGTTTAAGCCTCTCTCCCTTTTAAATCTGTCAGCTCCTTCATACAGAGATTAGGAATTATTCATCTTCCAGGCAGGCTGTCAGGAAGGAACTGAACAGGAAAAACTGAATGAAATTATTAAAACCCTAACATTTCTCTGCCTTCTTAAATAGATGATAGTGAAATAAACTTTTTGTAGTAGTTCAGGTTTATCACTACAGATTGTGAGTTCCTGTGCAGCGCTGCAATTTAGTGTTTGTGCTTTGATCAAAGAGTTCAATTTTATTCCAAGTAGTCTCTGCTTTGAATTCTTTTTATTTTTTCCCTCTGCATGTTAGTCTGTCATCCCTCCAGTTTTGTTTTTCTTTTTCTGTGTCAGTGTACCCTCTGTTAACAGCCCACCTCTTCCATTTCCCTTCCTTTCAAATGATCACACTCTAATTTCTAGGCTGGGAACTCAGGGGACCTGAGTTTATTAGAATAAACTAAACTAAGGACTGTAAGAGACTCTCCTACAACTAACTGTTGAAACTTAGATCACAAACTTTGTAACAACTTATTATTACTTTCAAGCCTTTTACACTTATTCTTGTTTGCAACTGGATTTTTCTAGGTGGTTGAAGTAACTGGAACTCTGACTTCCACTTAAATGGGACATGTTTCTGAATTTTACACCTATCTATTCCTCTTTTAATGCTTATTCGGTTACATAACGCAAGGGCGCTATAATTCTAATATTTAACATACATTTCTTTGAAATTAATACATTAGAAATCTAGATCTTTTATATTTAAAAAACTATTTGATATGTAGAGAATATTTTTCCTGAAAATTCAATACATAATACTTTTTTTTCTTATTTTCATTTTGGATATTTAAAAATATTTGGACTTCCAATCTTGTGGAAAACTACATAATTATAATAGGCACCATTTATTGAGCACTTTGTATACATGAGGCACTGTGCTAAGAACATAGATTACCTCACTTAATCCTCATAATCCTAGAGGCAAGTATTATTATCTCTATTTTATAAGTAGGGCAACTAGACTTAGAAATTAAATCTTCTATAAGCTAATCACAGCAGACAGGTTCTATATATTAATTAATCTTGAAAACTCATTTCTAAATTAGTTTCAACTCTCCAGTTATGGTTTGTCCACTATTTCATTTTAACTTTTTGGTAATATCTTTATTGTTGACATGTAAATTCATTCCATACAATTTGCCCTTTACCAGTTAACCACCCATTTTCAGCCAAAAGCATGATGCACCTGCCCCCACCCCAACCACTAATATACTTTCTATCTCTATAGGTTTATTTGCCTCTTTCGAACATTTCATATAAACGGAATCACACAATATGTGGTCTTCTGTGTCTGGCTTCTCTCACCTAACATAATATTTATATTTTCAAAGTCATCCGTGTTGTAGTATTTACCAGTACTTCATTCCTTTTTACTGCTAAATTATTACATTATATGGATATACCACCTTTTGTTTATCCGTTCATCATTTGTTGGACATTTGGGTTTTTTCTGCTTTTTGGTTATTATAAACAATGGTGCTAATATCCCATTAATATTTGCCAAAACATTCTAAGTATTTAGGAGGGTCAGTGGAAAAAATATTCAACTGTGAGGTCAGTTACCTAAGGTCTATTTTAGTTTTAAATTACTACCAATTACTGCTCATTAAAGGAGATTTGACTAAAATTCCTTTGACCTTCAACAGTCGCTAATTTTATATTTTTTGTCTTCTTCAAGTGTTTGGCCTAAGACCGAAGTCCTGCAGTAGAAGAAACATTAGGTCATTCTAAGTTCTACATTGTAGCTAGGAAGTGCAGTCAATACTGTAATTCATTTTAACCTCAAATCTTTTCAACTTTTTAAATTTAGTCCACAGTTTGGAGAATACTTAATTCAACTTTACATTGCCCCTCTTTGTTGAAAAGGTGCACTCTATTTCACCAAATGACAGAAATTCTAATAATAAACCAAAAAAATCTGAAAATTATGGCTTGTACTTTGGAAGTATTTTCATTTCTCTGTTTTATTTCTGGTGGAGAATGGACAGTTCCTAAAATCTTGTTATTTGTCACCCCAATCTAAAAATCACCTTTCTTCCTCTTCATACATAAAGACGATTATACATAAATACATAAAATATTATATATTAGGGAGGATTCTAGAAAATTCCAGTTGATCATTTTGACATGCTTGAAAGCTGGAGCAAACATCCTATTTCCTTTGACCACTCTCCTGGGCACTAAAGGTTTTGATTGGGGGTGGAGAGTAGGGGGAACGTTCGGTCAAACATCTGTTAACTAATTAGCGATGTGTTTATTAGTGAAAGCTGAAACTGCTTTTTGACGTTACCGGCGAAGAAAATAACAGAGAAAGACATTTCTAGAAGTTGTTATAACTAAGTCCCTATGTGGAGACAGACAGCTAGCTACACGTGGGAAAACTCATTATCAAGAGAGTCGTCTTTCCCCAGTTCTTACTAATGGCACCGAGACTTGTGCGAGATGCATGGGTTTCTTGGTCGTCCCCGCGACAACCACAGGCAGGGACGTCCCTTGCCGGCAGCAGGGAGGAGCGCCTCGAGGGGCAGGTGTGCGCAGTCTGTCGTCTGCGCCTGCGCAGTCCACCGGGCCCTTGTAGTGAGAGAGGCCCGGATGGAGGAGGCGGAGACGCGCCGTTGCCATGGCAGCCGGGTCCCGGCTGCTGTGGCAGCAGGTGCTGGGGTCTCCCTCGCCTCATTGTCAGAGCTTAGAAAGAGGAGGAGAGAACTTCCCGGGCCATCTTTGTGACCCCAGCCGCTGCGTCTTACACAGGCAGGAGGGGATACAGAGGGAGCGAAGGGAAGGATGATGCGGAGATATGGTGGGAGAGAGGGTAAAGGGGTAAATGTCTGGGACAGCTGGGAGGAAAGCAGGGTGGAGAAGCGAATTAAGGGCCTTCCTGTTGGCGCCTCATCTTTACGAGTCCGGAGTCCACGGAGCCTGGCGCTGGCGAGGAAGCCTGGTTATTGCGCCTTGCTTCGCTTTGTGTGAGGAAACCCCTTTGAGGGTAGACAAAAAAAAAACAAAAACCCTCTAATTTTTGTCATATTCCTATGCCTCTCAAAGTTCTCATCTCTGGGAGAAAAAAAAAGGCACTCCTTAAATGTTAGCTTCCATGAAGAGGCTAAGGTACTCATTTGGTCGGTGGTAGCTTGGGGGGCCTGGATACAAATGGAAATTGCCACCTAATGTTTGTAAAATATTGTTTATCGTTATACCTGTGACAGATTGATTTTTTTTTAAAATTTACTCATAGGATAACAGTCTTGGCAGGATACAGCAGGAAGAGTGGGCCAGATGGTCTTATGATGTTATTATGGGTTAGCTTTTGCTTAAGTACTTATTTTATATTAAAAGACATTATCTTTGACGTTCTTTCCATTCTCTTAGATTTTAAACAAGCATGTTTTAAGAAGTATGAGGTAAGACTGGAGTCAATGAATTAGATTAAACTGTTTTTGAATGTTTTGAATCCTAAAAGAAAGTTACCAAAATTATTTGTATATATAGACTTAGTTTAGACTCACACTAAAAGATCTGCAATCACCCACATGGGATTTAGCAGACACACAGGAGGAAGAAATTAATTTCTATTTCTTAACTACAGTTCCTTATTAAGAGGGTGGTTCTGGTGTAAGCCACATACATAGATTTTTACTGATGATACTTAACTGAAATTTAAATGTGTGAAATCACAGGAATAATAGTTAGGTGATTTAGTTTGTGTAAGATGTATTTTTGTTCCGGCATGTTGACGGTGTACCATATGGCCAGCACCCTGGGGATGAAGATTAAAAGAACTGAAGGGGATTGAATATCCTGTGACGCATTTGAAAAAGGCTTAAGGGACTTGGTAACAAGAGTTTATGATTTATGTTCTTTGTTTACTTGGGAACCACCCATGAATTTTTTGAAGTTATAGGAAAAGAATGGCATTTCTTATTTGATGAACTTCATTTACTTCCCTGAGTCACTTCAACTATGGCTTTTTTTCTTTTTAATTAAGGCATAGTATGATTGAATAATACTAATATAATTAGCTTGTAATTATTTTATTTATTTATTTTGCTGAGTCTGTGTTTTAGTTTTAAATTTGAGTTTTCACATGGGTGAGATACTTTGTGAATAATAAAGCAAATCGGAAGTCTTCAGCAACGATTTATTCACAAGTTCAGAACTAAGTTTTTATAAAATTAAGGAAAAGCACTGAAGAGTTCCATAGAAGTCTTATTCTAACAATTAGTTATGTAACTTAAACATCTTAAGGCATTTATGAGAAGGAAAAATAATATGATTTATGTAAGTGTTTTGGGTCACAATGGTTTTAGTTTATTTTTCATCATCCATGGCACCCTTGCTTTTAATTGGTAGGTAAGCAGACACAACAGCATATATGATTTAGCCTGTCCTGCAGCTTAGGCAGTGATAAATAAACTCGCTCTGAAATATTGATTTGGTTTCTTCAGGTCACTTCAAAATATTATTGATCTCAACTTCTGATTTACAAATTATTAAAGCATTAATTTGAGTCCTTTACAAAAGTCCATTTCCTATTTTTAATTTGAAAGAAATAAGTATCTAGAAGGAATTATAGTCCAACTAATACATTAGAAATAGTTGTATAATTATCCAGTTGAATAATTAGGTTGAATAAGTAACATTCAGTATACCTAAAACTAACTTTGTCTTGAGAGGGAGAGGGAAGTAATATCAAGAACCACGCAGAGGAAAGATGACCGCTAAATGAAACAGACTTTAGAATTTAATTCTTGAATTTAATTATTCAGACATTAGTAATTTATTTTGTATTAAACCTTCATGGTCCTACACATTTATTTTTAAATTCTCTTGCTTTTCATAAGTTGGCAATTATTTGCTAATTTGTATCCTGTAGACAAGGTAAAAATAAACCTTAAGGGTCATCTAGCGCAACGTTTTTCTAAAGCTTCAGTTTCCTTTAAAACAATGCCATTATCCTCTTCTAGGCTATGTATAAACATTTGATTGACAGGAACACAACTCACTACATGCAAGGACAGGTTTGAAAATGTAAATTGTATCTTACATTGTGCCAGAATTTGCCCCTGAGTTCCTAACCCTTATACTAGTTTTACTATTTGAAATTATGCAAGATCAACCCTCCTTTACATGATGACCATTTAAATATTGTAAAGTGGTTGTCATTGCTCTCTTTTAGGAGGCTTCTATTTTTTAGGCTAACATTCCCAGGGGTTTTAGGATTCCTCAGAATCTAGTTTTAAGGCTTTTTATTCTCATAGCCT